CTAGTCACTTTGTTTCAGTTTGCTTTATGTGCTATTTACATTGCAGGAGAGTTTTTTGAGGTTTGGCGCAATTAGGTCTTAATTACTAGTGACATGTACTTAGAATTTCAGGTGGCCTAAATTTGCAAATTTGTTGCACTGCGGCCATAGATGCTGTATTTTAGGAAATGGACACAGCCACAGTGGTTGTATTCTTGCTTTGTTGTATTGCATTGTTATTTTTAATTAAATACATCTATATGATTGTTTTGTAATTTTGGTGGAATATGTCCGTAGATATGGATGAATGTGAAGTACATGGCACAGAAACTCCATCAAATGATATAGATTTGCAAGCGAGTCTTTCTCCACGTGCACGTCAACATTGGGTAAACGAAAATCTAATAGATTAGCTTCATATGTTGGGGATCACTTTACGCTTTTGGGATCTAGGGATGATCCAGATGTTAGGTGTAAATGTAACTACTGTGTGAGTAGATTATGCTTGTGGCACTAAAAAGTATGGTACTAGTACATTGGACAATCATTGTAAGAAGTATCTTGGTAGATTGTTGGATAAGAAGCAAAAAAATCCTTTCTTTTGAGAACAAAAAAGATGGTGGTGGGAGCAATCTTGTTGCTGTTGGTCGAAGTAAAGAAGAGTGTAGAGTTGCACGTGCTAAAATGGTTGTATTGGATGAATTACCTTTTAGGTTTGTTGAAGGTCGGGGTTTTAGGTTCTTTTGTAGTGTAACATGTCTTCAATTTCAAGCTCCATCTTGGAGGACTCTCGTTAGAGACATCTATAAATTGTATATGAAAAATTGATATTGAGAGATGTCTCTTCTTTTCATTGTCAAAGGGTTTCCTTCACAACTGATACTTTGACTTTCTTTCAAAATGTTAATTACATGTCTCTTACAGCACATTTTGTTGATTTTTATTGGACACTTAATAAGCGTATTTTGAGTTTTTGTGTTGTTCCGAATCACAAGGGAGAAACAATTGGGAAAATGATTGAGACCTGTTTGCAAGGTTGGGGAATTGAGAAAGTTTTTACAATCACTGTTGATAATGCAAGCTCTAATGATGTGGCTATTGCTTATCTTAGGAGGAAGTTGATTGCTTGGGATAGTGATGAATGTGTTCTAGACGTGAGATATTTGCACCTGAGGTGTTGTGCACACATTATAAATTTGATTGTTTGTGAGGGGTTGAGGAAGTATATGACTTCATTGTGAGTATCTGCAATACAATCAAATATTTGAAATCTTCTCCTGCTAGGTATGAAAAACTGAAGGAGTGTGCGAGAAAAGAGAATATTGATTGTAGGTCTATTGTATTTTTGGATGTTCCAAATAAGTGGAATTCTACATATTTGATGTTGGAAATGACATTGAAATTTGAGAAAACTTTTGATAGGTTAGAAGAAGATAATGCTCAATATTTGTATTACTTTCGGGAAGACGATGGTAGTAGAAAGAGAGGCGAATCTCCTTCAAATTTACATTGGGAAAATGGATCTGTGTTTGTCAAGTTTCTTAAAAAAAAAAAAATTGATGTGACTTTGACTTTTAGCTCTTCGTTGCGTGTTAGTGTTTGTGCTTATCTTCATGAAATTTGTAATCTTGTAATCGAATTGGATGAATCTTATAATCGAATTGGATGAATGGAGATTAAGTGGTAATTTTTTATTGGGTGAAATGGCGACTGACATGAAGAAGAAGTTCAAAAAGTATTGGGTAAAGTGAAAAATGTGAATCGGTTGTTGTTTATTACTACTATCCTTGATTCAAGATATAAAATGGATTATGTTGAATACTGTTTTAGTGATCTATACATGGATGTGGAAGTTGTTAGTAACATGATGGAATCTTTGAAAGACAATTTAATGGATATTTATGAGTGGTAAGTGGCTTGTGAAGGTGTTCATGGAAGTAGTCAAGTATCAACTGACGAGTCTTTGAGTTCTTTCAGTACAAATAAAGGCAGTTCCTTTTCTATGAGTAATGCTCTTCTTTCTAGATTTTTGAAAAAAAACAAGTTGTAAAAGATTGTGCTGAAATAAAAAAATGATTTGGAAAGATACTTACTTAATGCTAGTAAAAGCATAGAGAACAAGGACTTTGATGTTCTCAATTGGTGGAAGGTTAACAAAAGTAAGTACGGTGTCTCGTCTAATCTTGCTTAGGATGTGTTGGCAATTTAAATTTCAACTGTTGCTTCAGAAAGTGCTTTTAGCACCGGAGGAAGTATCATTGATCCTTTTCGTAGTTCATTAAGTCCTAAAATGGTGGAAGTCTTGGTATGCATATAAAATTGGTAGAAAGCTTCTCCATAGTTAGATGGTTTCCACATGGAAGATATTGAGCATTACAACTAGACAGATGAAGGTAATACGTTTTTTTCATAAATTTTGTTGTTTTGATTTTATTTCTATATATTTTGTTGTCAACTTAATCAATTTTGTTTTTTTTGTTTTGTAGAATTGGAATCAATGAATTCAAAATTGAATGAAAATGATCAAGGGCATGATAATTGATTTGTTTGATGGCTGGTTTTTGTTTGAGCCAAGTGCCAAAAGTTATTAGATAATTATTTTGTTTGTGTCAAGTGCCAATAGTTATTTGATGGCTTGTTTTTGTTTTGTGGCACAAGAATTAATTTGTTTTGGTGGCTGTTTTTTTTTTTTTTTTGCCAGCAGATTTGTGTTTGTGCCAATAGTTTTTTTTGCCTCGGTACTATAGCTTTGTAATTAGATATATAATTGTTATTGGATAGATATTTGGTGGACTATACTATTTTATGTTTTAAATTTATTGATGTTGGAAGACTATATTAATGTAGCTTTAAACTATATTAATGTTGTTTTAAATTTAGTATTTTTGTGACTTTAATATTTGTTGACAGGTTATCCCAATTCGACCAACCTGACCCAACCCGACTGATGTTTGGTTGGGTTGGATTTCAATCTTTACATGGGTTGGGTTGAACATCAATCAAACTGACCACGTTGGGTTGGGATAAAAATCGACCCAACCTAACCCATGCACCATTCCTAGGTGATGATCTCAAATTATTTGGTTGACAGTGACCATAAAATTGATTAATCTGTGACCAATAAACAATATGTGACGAATGAAAAAGATAATTTACGATAAAAAAAAAAATAGTATGCGACCTAAAAAAATGTTACTTTGTGATTGATAATTTGACAATTTGTGATTGTATAATAAGTTTTGACTTATAATACTAGTAATTTGTGACTTATAAACAAGTTGACTTATAAATTTTTTATTTGTGACTAATGAACAAATTGTAACCTATAAAATTTTTGAATTGTGACCATAAAATAATTTGTTACACGTAAAAATTTTGATTTGTGATAAAAAAAAACTAATATGTGACTAATTAAACTGTTAATTTGTGAACAAATTGTATAGTTCTGTGACCTTAATTTATTTAATTAATAAATTAATTAATTAAATCATAAATAAATTTTATTAAATATCTGATTTTTGAAATTTGAAACCTTTTTTCTTAGTTTTAAAATGGGCGATACTTATCGTCTTACTTATGAATTTTTTCATTTTTTAAAATTCTTTTTGTTCAAATTTATAGACCAACAAAAATGCAAAAATGCAAATTTTTTGCCAAATCATGTTACAGTAATAAGCTCAATGACAACTTCAAAAAAGTTTGGAACACGTATCAACACATAATTTTACAATTTGTAAAAAAATAATAATAAATAAATAAATAAATAAATTCATCCAGTGAGGTTCTGCATCCCATCTTTGTCAAAAGTCCTTGTTCAAGGAGCATTATTCATTTTGGCCTGGACATGCAAACCATGAGCCTAAGAACCTAAGCATCAGGCTACACCACAACATTGGCCAATTCCTACCAAAGCATGTTGGTACACTTGACGTTTTGTACTCGAGTCGTTAAATCCATTTTTGAACCATTTTACACTAGTATTTTAGAAGGACCCGTTTGACAATATTTTGAAAAGTCAAAAGTTATTTTTAAAATTAAAAAGTTGTTTTTGAAAAAAAAGTTGATATCAAGAAGTTATTAAAAAATATGGCCTCGATTTGGCCCTCCGTAAATTAAAATTTATTATTCTCTCTTTACTTATCAACCATACATTTTCCACTAAAATAATATTAGATATAAACTTAAAATTTTTTTCTTTCTTTTTAATCATTCATTTTTCAAAAAATTACTATTTCTTTCATAATTATTTGAAAAAATGGAGCCCAAATAAGGGCATAAAAATATGGACTTTACTACAAGTACATAGGGGAATACATAAGGGTGTTCATAATGGACACCTGACATCCTTCTATTGGAGGGAGCGGCTGGCCCACCGGCACCCACTCCAATAGGGAGTGCCGGGTGTCCATAATGGACACCCTTATATATCCCCTTATGTACAACAAGATTAATCCTAAAAACATATGCTTTTCTAAATGGACCTCTAATCTATTAGCAAACCGTACAAAGGATATTCTTTGCTTCAATAAAAAGGAAACTATGGAGAGCCCCTATTTGGGCCTATTTTTTGGGAAAAAAAAAATATATATTTTTAAACAGTATTTTGACATCATTTTAACCGCAAATTTTTCGATAAAATAATATTACATATAAATAAAAAGAATTTTCTTAATTTTTAACCCCACATTTTTATCAATACACTGTTTAAAAATTCTTTTTTACGAAAAAGAATGGGGCTCAGACAGGCTCCAGTAGCAGCTTCTTGAAAAACAGAAAATATGATCACTTAACTATGAATTTCAAGGTAAACGATAAAATTTCTGGATATTCTATTGGGAAACCGTGTCCACTGCCGGCCCACATTTACTAATTTCAACTGGTCACTCATCCATAATCTTGAATGCTTTCTGATCATTACCTCATCTGTCACCATATACACGTAACTCCACCGCCACGATATGCACTTATAAATAACAAGATTACACTCAGAATATAGACTCTATTCTCTATCAAATTCAACTTCGAAAATAATTAAATTATATACATAGGAAGAAAAAGAGGGGAGGCTCCTCAAAAAAAGAAAAAAAATGGGTAGTTTTGAGGAGGAGAATCTGTATCAGATGGTGAATGATTTTCTTGAATCAGAATCAACACCACCACTTTTATCTTCTGCCCCGCAAAGCTTGATCATCAATGGTCATCATGCTAAATATTACATCTTGCAGGTATATTTGAATATAACCTAGAAAATGATTTTAATGTTGAGATTATATTCTGAAACATTGTATTTTTTTATAGGAGATTCTTGAAAGTGGGGATGTTGCAGAAACTGATGTTCTTGGGAGTGTAATGACGCATATGAGAAAGAATATTGATGTTGAATGGAGTACTACTACACTGAAGAAGTGGCTTGTCAAGAAGTTGAAAATTGATGGCCTTAATGCAGCTCTATGTCACTCCACTTGGCCTACTACTATGAATTGTCCTGGTGGTAATTGCTACATTATTTGAAGCCTATTTTACTGTCATTATAATTTTTTTTTTGGGTTATTGAATAATCCAAACCCAAAATTATTAGGAACAGTTGAACCGTCTTATCTACGAGTTTAAGTTTTTTAGGGAGCGACGATATTTATTATTTATTCTTCTATACTGTTGGATTATTTTATTCACTTAAAATTTTATAATAACACAATTTTCATAAATGGGCGGTGACAACACTTAAAACTCAACAAACTTTTGCTTGAAACCATGTTGAGCCCCTTCATATTTATGAGAATTGTGCTTGTTTTAAGCCTTCGATGAAAATCTGTACTCGAGGGACTCGTTGAAAACACAATTAAAATTAATGCACTTCTCTCCTCCCTATCAGCTTAAGCTTTTAATCTAATAGACGAGATGTTTCAAGAAAGGCTTAGTTTGTTGTTTGTTATCGTTGATATATTATTGAACGAAATATGTTGTGTTTTGGCATATCCTAAACAGGTGAATATGTTTACGTTGAAGTTATACCAGAAGATAAAAATGGTTGTCCGTTGAAGGTGATAGTAGATACAGATTTCAAGTCACAGTTTGAATTGGCAAGGCCTACGTCAACTTACAAAGAGCTCTCCAACATGGTGCCAACTATCTTCGTCGGGACAGAACAAAAGCTGAAGAAAATTATTTCCATTCTTTGTGCAGAAGCCAGAATTTCATTTCTTGAAAGGGGTCTCCATGTACCTCCATGGAGGACAAGCACTTACATGCAATCCAAATGGTTTTCTGCCTGTGAGAAAGGGCAATAATTTCGCATAAGCAGAGAAGTTGACACAAAAAAGAAGAAATGAATGAGAAAAGAGTTGGTGACATTGTTCTATCTAAAATTTCCACAATTTTGTAAAATTAATTTGGTTTCCTTTTAAAATATCCAATGTGGTGTGTGAATATTTTAGGAGCCCAAACTATGTGATTGAATAAATCCTTCTCTATGTGTTGCGGGTCAAGGGCTACTTCTCCCTCCCCACAACTCCTTTCTTCTTGAGAATCCATATATCCCTTATCAGTGTATGCATTATATTTTACTGTCGATGTGGATGTGAAGGTGGAAAATCAACCAGAACCAGCAATTTCAGTTAGGGTTTATCCACTTTGCCAGGGCCATTGAAATTATAATTTAAGTTGCGAGTCTCTATTTCTGTGGATAAACGGTTGGTATATGATGCAAGTCCAAAGAATGTTGGACAAAAAATTGTATTTGACCCACTTAAATTATAATTAAGCTTTGCCAAACATGTACTTAAAGAAAACTATTATATAAAGTTCAGTCACTAGATGGGAAAAAAAAGGAAAAAAAGAAAAGTGATTAGATGAAAACATGTAAATAATTCAAGTGACCAAAATTAATTCTCCTGTTATATAATTAGGTTAATTGGAAAGTCCCACCATTTTTGTTTTGATAATCAAGCATTTTCGTTGTACTATCTATATTTTGAACATAAAATAAACAAACATTTTACATATCTCTTTGTTAGAGTGATAAAGTTCAACAAACTAAACATGAATGAAGCTGAACAAACAGGGTCAAAGACAAGGGCCTTTTTAGAGAAGAAAGTGGCAAATTTTGAACAGTTTTCACAAATAAAATAACAAGTAGCCTTAGATTTTCTTAAAGTTCATCACTTTTGCAATAAGATGAGCAGAAAAAATTCATTTATACTTTTGGAAAGAAGACAACAGACGTGCAGTATCTGTGTTTGGTACATGCATGTAGTGTTCTAGAAGACATAACGCGTGGAGATCGAGCTATGGGCTAGAGAAGTTGAAGCAAGGCGCAGGAGTAAAAAAAGCATAAAAAGACATTTTTTAAAATTTTAATATTATTTTAATTTTTAATTCATCGAAAAATAGTTTAATAATTAAAATTATACTTGCCAAACATCTAAAACAAATTTATAGGAAATTTATACATTTACTCAAAGTTTTCAACAAAAATGTAAGTTCCAAATATAAATATTAAATAGTAAATAAATAAAAAATTTTGGGATATTTCCTTTGTTCAAGGTTTCAAGCGACTATTTTGAATTTAGAACTGACGAAGTGAAGAAATTAATGTCTAAGTTTTGACTTACAAGAATTGTAAAAAGTAAAAAAATAATTAAAATTTAAAAAAATAATAATAATTATGCACGTCTAAATGTGCAGAACCACGCCTAAGCGCACATTAGCTGTTAACGATTGCCGTTGACCGCTAAATAAGGTGACAAGCCAAGTGGCTTGACGTTTTCGTCGCTCATTGCGCATTGACGACGCTTAGGAACCGTCAATGCGCGCCTTTTAGAACAGTGCATGCATGTATGCTCCAGCTTGGTGTAGATAAAAATTAGATTTTTAATATATTTTAATAAATTGATAAAAATTATGATTGAAAATTTGATAAAAATTGTGGGTCCTAAAAAATTCGGTTAAAATTAATTATTAAATTTTACATAAATTTTCATCATTTTTCAAACTGCACCAAACAGGACATACATGCATGTTACCAATAACGTTTTCTTCATTGAAGTTAACAAATATCCAATTGTAGATGGAGACAACAGCCATCAATACTGGAAAATCGAACGTGAGATAAATCTAAATGGAAGAAAAAACCACGGGCCCTCTAAAACAAGTGGCACCATACCGGGGGAAAGGACTTTAATTAGGGTCTGTTTGGCAATATTTTTGAAAAAGTAAAAGTTGCTTATAAAATTAAGAAGTTACTTTCGAATATCTTTGAATAGATTTCTGTTATTTACATTAAACAAAATCAAATTGAAGAATGATGCAAGCACGTAATGTGTGCGTTTGTGAGCAATGTACCACTAGAGCCTTATAGTCCAGTCAAGTCAGTGCTCGAACCAACATGCACTAATTTTGTTATTCTAATAGACATAATTATTTATTTACAAGATAGTTTTCAACGCTTCCTCTCCCATGTAGAATTAGTAACAATATTCAACTTATTTCATTAGCTTTGCTTTGATTTGATTTGATTTTATTATTATTATTATTTTTTATGTCACTTCAATTTTTCTTTGTTTAGAAAATTATTAAGCATACCTTCAATAATTAAAATTTCTCGTTATTTAGAATTTTGTCATTCATTTTATATTAGCCTAAGTTATTTTACTTTCTCAGTCGATGCAAAGTGATCATATATTATATGATAAGCAACAATACTGAACAACTGGAAGTATTGAGTCGATCCCCAGTTACTATATATGCATTTTTTTATTTTTTAGGCATTATTCATATTTGGTACTTCTTTCCTTTTTTAGAATTTTTAATATTCTATGGTAGTACGAGCATTTTTGGTGCTCTGTGTTTGTAAAAGGAGTCTAAACTCAGGATTGAATTGGAAGAGGACAATATGACAAAAAACAGAAGATACCAATACCAATTGTCAAATCAAAGATTAAAATCTACAAAAAGTATTTTGAGTTGCGCGTAGCTCACTTTGTCCTCTTTTTTTTTTTTTTTTTACAGTCATTTTTAACTACACAATCACTAAAAAAAAAAAAAAAAAAAAATATTCTGTACATAATTCCAAAAATTTTCTTTACATTTTAATCACACATTTTCCAAAAGTTCGCTATTCATAACTTTTTTTTTGACAAATAATGGCCATCAAACACCCCCTTAGTATAATTCCAAAAACTCCGAACTTGTACTCCTATGCAAAGATGTCATAATGTTTTTTGGAGGGATTTTCAAGAATGTCTAATTTTAAGGGTATAAGTTGAAAAGTGTCAACTCATTTGAATTTAGTGTCAATTTGTCTATTATGCCCTTAATGAAGAGCTACATTGTGAAATGGTATTTTCGACATTTTAAATGTCGTTCTCGACATTTGATTTTTTTATCAATTTGTCACGAATTTTGAGAAGTGGCTTCCATGAGAAGTTACATTAAAATAAATTCGGACGACAAAAAAAAAAAAATATATATATATATATATATATATATATATAATACTTTAAAAAAATCACGTGAAAACAAAAAATATGATACTTTAAAAAAAAATCAAAAAAATCACGTCTCCGTGACATGGAGGCAAGTGCCTCCGTGTCACGGAGACATTATCGACATTACATATATCATTATCGACATTTGAACACTGTTTCATTAAAAAAAAAAGGAAAAAATCACGTATCCGTGTCACGGAGACATTCTCGACATTTGCCTCCATGTCACGGAGACATTCTTGACATTACATATGTCATTCTCGACATTTGAATACCGTTTCATTAAAAAAAAATGAAAAAATCACATCTCCGTGACACGGAGGCAAGTGCCTCCGTGTCACGGAGATATTCTCGACATTACATATGCCATTCTCGACATTTGAATATCGTTTCATTTGTCTAGAATGACATTTTATTTTGAACATGACATTTCTCTACATTTGAAAATGTCGTTCTCGACATTTCTGAGTCAACGAAAAATATAGCATTTATTGTGATTTGACATGTATACTTTTGAAATAAATATGGTAGGTTATGTGTCAAAATTTTATTCGTCAATAACAATTTTGCAAAAATGTCCATTTTTTTGTCTTAGTGTGGATTAAAAATTGTTAATAAGGGTATTTTGGTCTAAATTTTTTCAAATTGGACATTTTTGCAATGGTTTGCAATAATGGACACTTTTGCAAATGACTGGGTAAAAATGGACATTTGATGAAATTTCCTCATTTTTTTTTTGTTATGAAAGAGCAAGTCGGCTGAAATAAGGAGATAAAGGCAAGAGGAAGCCAGCCACCAATTTTTTAAAATCAAGCGACAACGTCATTTCAATTAAATGAAATGGTGTCGTTTTGAGTCGAATTTGCTGAATGTACTAGGAATACATTTTATTCATTGCATTTTTTAAAACATGTTTCTTATTTCTTCTTTCGGTTATAACATAACGGAGAGGAGGGGAAAAGGCGTGAATTGGATAATTGTGAAACCTTCACTCTCTAAGTTCTCTTTCCCTCTCTCTGGCGTATCTCTTTTCTATCTTCCTAATTCAATTTTGTTTTGAATCGAATTCTATATCTTCAATATAAGTGTTGGTTGTAAAATAAATTTAATAGTTAGTTTGCAAGTTGCAGGAATTTGTATATTTAATGTTGAGATTTTAGCTCAACCATTACATTTGGTATTAGAGTAGCTGCGTGAACTGGGATGGCTGAGACTAGAAGCAAGCTGAATGAGGATCATCTGAAGTGATTGGACAAGGAGGTCGAAGATCTGGAAGTAGCATTTTAAATCTTCAGATCAAATTCTGAAAGTGGTCAGCCCCAAGCAAAATAGAATGGAGCAAATGATGGGTGAGATGAACCAAAAGTATGAATCTATTGCAGCAATGTTAGCTCAAATAAATAGGAATAAAATCGATCTATAGAAGAAACAGATCGAAGGAAGTACAGTGCCATTGCAAATAAGTGGTGATAACAGTCGTGGGAGTGAATACCACTCAGGTAAATCTAGTGGAAGTAGGGAGTTTAAAATGCATTCCAAATTACCCAAAATAGATTTTTCCTTATTTTGGAGGAGATGGACCTAGGAAATGGTTGCGAAAGGCGACGAATTACTTTCAAATTCATCAAATAGAAGATGAGATGAGGATAGGAATTGCGGAGATATACCTTAAGGGGAAGGCTGACATATGGTTCTGTGGATTCATCTCCAGCCATCCCCATGATGAATGGGACTTATTCTCAAGGAAAATTTGTTGGAGGTTTGCTGAAAACAAATAAGAAGAAGCAATAGAAGTCTTCGGTAGGCCAAGGTAAAAGGGATCTATGATTGAATCCAAACAGCAGTTTGAAGAATTGAAATCCTAGGTGATGATTTCCATTCCACGCTTGTTGGAGTCTACCATATTTTTGTCTTTACTAGTTGCCTAAAAGAAGAGATCAAATCAATGGTTAAAATCATTCTATCCCAAACTCTAGCCGAAGACTTTGAAATCGCCATCCTACAAGAGAATACCA